TGGCAATTCCTCGTCAGTAAACTTGGTATGAAAATGTATGTACAGCCATGACTTCATCGTTTTTTCACTTCTTTTTTCTCTCTTGTATAAATTATCATGACAAAAGTCTGGTATCTAATCAATATACTCTATTATTTCCATATATTCTCTTAAAAAATATACAACCTTCTTTCTTCAGGTGGGATGGCAATGGGAAAGGAAAGAGGGAAGTGAAGGGGAAGAACCAAAAGGGAGTGGCTGTGGGAAAACCTCTGCCCCTCGGTAACCTCGACAAAGGAGGAATGGGGCAACTGGATTAAATAAAATTGGAGTGTATCTCATACACTTCTTTAGAGAGGGAGGGTACCTGTTTGACATATCCTTTCAGCCATAAGGCTTATGTGACTGTTCCTTTCCCATCCTTAACAATGTTCCGATTACCAAAAAATATACAAAGAAGGAAAGAAGAAAGATATTAAAAAAAGAAAAAGTGGAGATCAAAATGCTTGGCTTGTAATCATGGGGATGACACAAGGAAGTTTGATGCTGCCTCAAAATTAGTTAATAAATAAAATAAATAAAATAAAAAAGCAGCTGCCATTAAACAAATGTGACTATAAAGTACAGTCGTGGAGGCCCAGAGACGTCGGCGATGGCAGGGGGTCGGGTTCGGAGTCTGCCAATCTCTCTGAAAGGGAATCAGCACAACAGTCTCCTAGGTCATCATCCCAACTCACGGTGGGCACGGAGGTCGAAAAGAAGTCCCTGGAAAAGACAAATGGGTTGATATTTTTTCTTATAAAAAATGTATCAGTACACAGATATACACTGCAATATGTATCCATAGCAGTGGATAGATAGAAAAGACAACAAACAGATAGATAGGAAGTGGCAGGAGATAAAAGACAAGTAAATGGAAAAAGAAGAGAACGACAAGAAATGGAAATAGAAGAATTTGGAAGAGGAAAAAGAGGAAAGACATCAGACAGAGAGAGGAATAGCTGTGTTAGAGCCAGAAAATATTGAAGACTCCCTCCTCACCTGAAATTCCAGCGCTGTTGAAGACACTCTCAACGGAATCATTGCTGCCCTCTGTCAGGTTGTTGGGAGGAGGGGAGGGGTGCGGCGGCGTCTCTTCATGTCACTCAACGGTACCGGCAAGCCTCCTGGGAAGGCTCCTTCACATGCCATTACCTCACTATCCACCTCAAGCCTTTGCTTCGTAATTGTGTTTCTGGGAACAAAGGCATTTGTGTAACACCTGCTGATGACTGGGTGAGGACAGAGGGGGGGGGGGGTCTCTTGCTTTACCTACTATCCTCTAACGGCTCCAGTAGTAATAAAAAAGTATGCTCTGTAAATCTTATCATTCTGAGACAAATCAAGTTAATGTTCCTTATTCTTAAGGATAGGAAAAGTCGCACTTTTAAGGGAACTTTTCATGTATCTTTATACATATATTTCACACATTTCGTATTTGTTGATTTGTTTGTTTTTCCCATCACTATCACTTACTGAAATGCAAAGGACCTCTGGAAATTAAATAAACTTATACCACATTTTGAGCATTTCATAATATATTTCTTGTAATTTTCTCCAGATGTAGTTTCTCTGATTTGCTGCAAAAAGGAATTCTTTTTAAAATTGTGCATATCATCAATATATAATGAATCTTATGAACAAAGAAGAAAGAGAAATATCTGATAAGCTAAGCCTGGTAACTAAACACAGCACATGCATATACATACATGATATTCTTTACCATTTGCACACTGACAAATCTTTAAAAAAAATGGATATATACATTAACGTATTTATTACATATATGAGTGCTCATACACAAATCATAACTACCTTTCAGATATCAATAACAGTCCTATAAAACCAACAAATTCTATGAATGAAGTGCAACACAAATAAAACAAAATCAGCAAAGCAACTAATTGTACATAATAAAAGTCTACACCAGCGGTTCCCAAACTTTCCCAGTCATTTACAACCATCCGGGAATGACAGACCAAGCAACCTCCTCCTCTAGCCACTACCATTTTCTCCACGTCAGCCCCAATTGTACAATGGCATGTTAGTTGTATTTCATCCATTATATTAACCTGACCTTTCAGCTTTTGCCCCTCACTCAGTTTCATTAATTCTTTAACCCATTGCCTCCAGGAGAATATGGGGTTGACTTAGCCTGAAAATATGCACGGCCAACTGGGCTTGCCTCCGGGGCCTTTTTGAGACATGGCTGGTGTTTTGCACTTGTCATGGCACACTAACAAAGTGATGTGATTTTTTTAAATTACTTTTTATGCAAAACTTTTTTTTGGTGGGTGGGGTGTGGGGGCACATTTAGAGATGCACACCTGTAGTAGCCTGATTATGTATATTAGAGACTATTTCAACAGAGGTGTGTTACACTCTATGTACAAGATTGAATGTGGCTTTACTGAAGGATAAAGAGAATTCATTGTTGCAAATCTAATTCTTACGAAATATGAGATTGTATGCAGTGATATAT